GGGGGGGCAAAAGGTCCCCCCTTTAGTTTAAAAGCCCCCACTTGCGCGTCGCAGGTGACGGCTCAGGAGGGGGGGATTTTTTTTAACAGTTTAATAGACAAGCCCCGAATCGCGGTATAACGAGTAGGGGCATAATTTAATAATACTAAATAACCAGCTTATATAGAGGCTGAGTAACATGCTACACTGGCCAGTCACAGCCATGCCATTAGTAGGCATGGTTGTGATAGCTTCTAAGGGCAGACGAGTCAAACGCTTGTTGATTGGCTGCCCTGCAGCCTTTCAAAACGCATCATTAAATCGCCGAACTCCAACCCGAACATACAGTGATATGTCAGTGTTCAGGTCCGGGGTCCAAAAAACTTAATGTTTGGTACGAACCCGAACATTGCAGTTCAAGTTCGCTCAACTCTACTGTACAATGGCGATTGAGCACTTCCCTCTTTCTACCGCTAATAACTCTCCCTATACAACCAAGCATTCTGCTAGCATTTCCTGCTGCTCTATTACATTGTCTGCCTACCTTTAAGTCATCAGAAATAATCACCCCTAAATCCCTTTCCTCATATGTTGAGGTTAGGACTCTATCAAATATTCTGTACTCTGCCCTTGAGTTTTTACGTCCAAGATGCATTATCTTACACTTATCCACATTAAATGTCAGTTGCCACAATTCTGACCATTTTTCTAGTTTACCTAAATCATTTGTCATTTGGCTTATCCCTCCTGGAACATCAACCCTGTTACATACCTTAGTATCATCAGCAAAAAGACATACCTTACCATCAAGACCTTCTGCAATATCACTAATAAAAATATTAAAGAGAATGGGTCCAAGTACAGATCCCTGAGGTACCCCACTGGTGACAAGTCCAAGCTTCGAATATATATTCCATTAACTACAACCCTCTGTTGCCTGTCACTCAGCCACTGCCTTACCCATTCAACAATATTTGAATCCAAACTTAAAGATTGCAGTTTATTGATAAGCCTTCTATGTGCAGCAGTGTCAAAAGCCTTACTGAAATCTAGGTAAGCAATGTGCAGCAAGCTATATGGAAACGAAAATATACTACCAATTAAGCATATTAGGTGATGTGTGTGCATCTGTAATGAAGAGGTGTGGTCTAATGACATCAACACCTATCAGGTGTTATAGTAGGCAACTTCCTTTCCTTTACAACAGAAATGGGATTCAAAGAAGGAACTTGACAGGCTCAGAAAAGTCAAAATAATTGAGATATCTTGCAGCAGAGGATGCAGCACTCTTAAAAATTGCAAAGCTTCTGAAGCGTGATCCTTCAGACAATCAAGCGTTTCATTCAGAAAATATAGTCAACAAGAATTTACTTAAGCGTGTGGAAAAACCGGCATGTCTTTGCCATGAACTGTGAAAAGATCAAGCGTGCAGCTGCCGCGATGCCACTTGCCACCAGTTTTGGCCATATTTCAGAGCTACAACATCTTTCCATTACCCACTTCTGAGGTGCAATATATTGAAGAAGAAAGGTATGACCACCACTGAACAAGACACACAAGCTGAAACGTCAAGACTGGGCCAAGAAATATCTCAAGATTGATTTTTCTAAGGTTTTATGGACTGATGAAATGAGAGTGAGTCTTGATGGGCCAGATGGATGGGCCCATGGCTGGATTGGTAAAGGGCAGAGAGCTCCAGTCCAACTCAGACGCCAGCAAGGTGGAGGTGGAGTACTGGTTTGGGCTGGTATCATCAAAGATGAACTTGTGGGGCCTTTTCGGGTTGAGGATGGAGCCAAGCTCAACTCCCAGTCCTACTGCCAGTTCCTGGAAGACACCTTCTTCAAGCAGTGGTACAGGAAGAAGTCTGCATCCTTCAAGAAAACATGATTTTCATGCAGGACAATGCTCCATCACACGCGTCCAAGTACTCCACAGCGTGGCTGGCAAGAAAGGGTATAAAAGAAGAAAATCTAATGGCATGGCCTCCTTGTTCACCTGGTCTGAACCCCATTGAGAACCTGTGGTTCATCATCAAATGTGAGATTTACAAGGAGGGAAAACAGTACACCTCTCTGAACAGTGTCTGGGAGGCTGTGGTTGCTGCTGCGCGCAATGTTGATGGTGAACAGATCAAAACACTGACAGAATCCATGGATGGCAGGCTTTTGAGTGTCCTTGCAAAGAAAGGTGGCTGTGGTCCACTGATTTGTTTTGTTTTGAATGTCAAAATGTATATTTGTGAATGTTGAAGAGGATATTCTCTTAGGTTTCACTGGTAAATAATAAATAGTGAAATGGGTATATATTTGTTTTTCATTGGATTGCTAATAGTATGCACAGTAATAGTCACCTACACAGATATCCCTAACAGCTATATAACTAAACAAACTAAAAACTACTTCCAAAAATATTCAGCTTTGATATTAATGCGTTTTTTGGGTTCATTGAGAACATGGTTGTTGTTCAATAATAAAATTAATCCTCAAAAATACAACTTGCCTAATAATTCTGCACTCCCTGTACTATAGCTAGTGGGATATTCTACACTTACAGGTTTCTACCGTTTGAAGCAGCGTTCGACTCTCCAACTTCAGGAACCAGGACATCCAAGCAATCCAACCTCTTGCTAGACCGGAGGCAATCGTAACAATTGGTGGCAGCGGCATCCTGGACTTCCAAGGAGAGGTATAGAATGGATGGAGAACACCTACGATAAGTTAAAGCGCACCACCTTAAAAGATTTACTTGAAAGCCGAGGTGCAAACACAAGCAACCGTCCGAGGAGAGAACTGATTGTTGATCTAACTGAGCTAGACCAGAGCTTCACCATGACGGAACCCACGGTAATGCCCAGCGACGAGAAGACCAGGATTGTCAGGGAAAGGCTCCCACTATATGGGCCGAACCCTTCTGTAGAACTGGTATGGCAATTGATGGCAGAGGCGGATATACAAAGCGCTAGAGCCCATGAGCTCAGCGTACTGACAGCCCAGCACGGTCCTACCACAACTGTATCCAGCAACCCCACGGAACTTACGGGGCAACGAAAGATTCCATTTGCAGCATTCAAGCCGTTCGTAGAAAACGAGATGGGGATTGACAAATTTTTAGCCGACTTCGAGAGGCAATGTGTCCTTCATCAAATCCCCACAGAAGAATGGTGTAGCGGAGCTGCAATGTTAAATCCCAATATCTCCGCTGGTACAGAAAGTAATCCAAGTAAAGCGCTGAAAATGAAGGCAATATCCCAAATCCCTCAGTAACCAGACGAAACAGTTCTGGGAGTCAACTGACGATTTTATTCACAAGCTCCAGTATTTATGTGATTCCCCATGCAAGGGATTTCCTTAATTACTTTACAGGGGTTGTACAGTAGGGGACTACATGGGGAACTGAATATGCAGGACATTTCTGCCACCATGCACTGCTGTACAAGAGGGATACTCCCATGAGAATATCCTGTTAAGTGGATTATCCCTCCATACAACAGAACCGGCTTTTCACACAAAAATCAGTAACTTATATTTTATTCGTGCTATTGTACCGAATGACCGTTCGGCAGATAGCTGGGGTCTGAGCGCACACTTTGTGAAAGTACCGCTCAGATCCCAGCATAAATAACTGAACGCTGCACGAAACACACTTTAATATACATTCATCATAAAAGTCACGAATATACAATTGGGGAAAAAGTACCGAAAGACCGGCGCTCCCGAACGGCCTGGAAGTCCAGCGGTGTTCGTGCCGTCGAGTAGCCGATTTTAGTTCCAGGCACTCAACGACCAAACACCGCCGGGCAAAAGGGAAATCCAAGATGGCCGCCGCCTCGTGGTCGGTAGCCGAACGACGGCCACCCGGGAAATCCATTAGCAGCAGATTGCTACAATGTTGCAATCGGTTAATGGGAGCCACACGACCCCCTGTGTGTGGGCTCCCATTCGGTACTTTATTCGTTTCACGAACAGTGTGGAAAGTCACTGTTCGTGAAACTACCATATGAATGCTCAATATTACAAGGATAAGTAAATACAGAAACGAACAGAATTGGACCAGCTTTCTAGGACAACCTTTAGACATATAACTGCACAATCTAAAGTGGCTAGGTTTGCCACAATGCTCCCCCAGAACCAAGCCAGCATACACAGTCTGATCCCAACGGATCGGCTTGGGGATGTCCGGAGGAGTACTCACAGATCACTTTTTAAGTTCAGTTTGTCTGGATAACCTGTCAGCGTTACCATTTAGCTTCCCTGGGCGGTAATGAATAGTAAAGTCAAAAGGCTGCAGCGACAAACTCCAGCGCAGCAGCCTGGCATTGTCCCGAGCCATACGGTTCAGCCACACCAATGGGTTGTGATCTGTGTGTAAGGAGAAAGGTTGTCCATATAAATAAGGCTGTAGCTTTTTGAGGGCCAACACCACGGCCAGGCATTCTTTCTCAATGGTGGCGTAGCTTTCTTCACGTGGCAATAACTTTCTGCTTAAGTAAGCTGCGGGATGTTCTCCGCCATCTGCTCCAACTTGGCTCAGCACTGCTCCCAATCCAAACACTGAAGCGTCTGTGTGGACAAGAAATCGTTTAGTTGGATCGGGAGCAGCAAGTACAGGTGCATTGTTTAAAGCAGTCTTGAGTTGTTGAAATGCCTGATCACACTCTGGGGCCCAGATGACCTGTCGAGGAAGATTTTTGCAGGTCAAGTCAGTCAGGGGTTTGACCAGGGCACTGTATTTGGGTACGAACTTCCGGTAAAATCCTGCGGTACCCAGGAAGACTAACACTTGGGTTTTTGTCCGGGGGTAGGCACCTTAGCTACAGCCTCTATTTTGGCTGGTTCCTTTTTTTGCTGCCCACTCCCTACCCTGTGCCCAAGGTACTGTCCCTCTGCCATCCCTATATGACACTTGCAGGGTTTTAGCGTCAACCCTGCCTCTCCAATACGGTCAATGACAGCTACAATATGTCGCAGGTGGTCTGACCACGTCTGGCAATATATGGCGATATCGTCCAGGTATGCACATGCATACTCCTGGAACCCATCCAGTAGCCGATCTACCATCCTTTGAAAAGTAGCCGGAGCATTTTTCATCCTGAATGGCAACCTCGGCTAAAGGAATCTGCCAGTACCCTTTGCATAAGTCTATCATAGTGAAGTACTGGCCTCGTGCCATCTTATCTAGCAGCTCGTCTATCCGGTGAATCGGGTAGGCATCAGACACTCTCTTGTCATTTAGCCTCTGGTAGTCAACACAGAACTGTTTTGTGCCATCATTCTTGGGAACTAGCACTACCGGCGATGCCCAGTGGCTATCGGAATGTTCAATAACCCCTAGCTGCAACATCTCCTCAATTTCCTTTCTCATATGTTCCCTGACTGCTTCCAGGATACGATATGGGGTCTGCCGCATAGGTAGCTCTAATGGGGTCTCTACCCGGTGAGGGTGTACCCTGGTAAATTGGAGAAAGTGGCTCCCTTAGTCGCAATTAACTCCTGTACCTGGGCACGCTCATGAAGACTTAGCCGCTCCCCCAGCTGAACACCTGTAGAGGTCTCTGCCTTATCTTCTCGCTCTAATAAATCGGGTAGCGGAAGATTCTCCTGATCCTCAGAGGCTGATGCACATATAGCTGCCACATCCACTATCCTCTCATGGTAGGGTTTGAGCATATTCACGTGGAGCATACGTCTCTTCCCTACCCGAGCAGGGGCCAATTACATAGGTGGTGTCACATCTCTGTTCCACCACCCTGTAGGGGCCTTGCCAGGCGGCCTGCAGCTTGTCATTGCGGACAGGTTTTAAAATCAAAACTTTTTGTCCCACTTGAAAGCTGCAATCCCTGGCTCCCCTATCATACCATCGGCGCAGCCGTTGTTGAGCCGCTTGGTGGTTTACCCGTACGGTGTGGGTTAGTGCCTCCAGGCGGTCCCTGAACTCCAGCACAAATGGTACAATGGGTACCTGCACTGCTTTCCCCTTCCCAATGTTCTCTAATTAACTCTAGGAGTCCTCTCACCCTTCTCCCAAACAGTAATTCAAAGGGGGAAAACCCGGTGGACTCTTGAGGTACCTCTCTGTAGGCGAACAGCAGATGGGGTAAGAATCACTCCCAGTCCTTATGGGCCTCTCCAAATGTACGGAGCATCTGCTTTAAAGTTCCATTGAACCTTTCACATAACCCATTACACTGTGGATGGTAAGCAGAATTAACAATAGGCTTAATGCCACATATTTTCCATAGTTGGTGGGTTACTTCGGCCGTGATTTGCGTACACCTATCTGAGATTATCTCCTGGGGGAACCCCACCCGGGAGAAGGCTTTCATTAAGGCTTCGACCACCGTCTCGGCGTGGATATTAGAGAGGGCTACTGCCTCGGGGTATTTTGCCAGAGGGACTGGGTTTGGGTAAGGGTCCTACTATATCTACGGCCACCCTACTAAACGGCTCTTCTATGATGGGTAGCGGGCATAATTTGGCCTTGTGTCGGTCACACCTTTTGCCTACTCTCTGACAGATGTCACACGTCTGGCAGTATTGCCTCACAGAAAAATGCATGGGTAAGTCGGTATCTAGTTCGGGTCATACCCAGATGCCCAGACAACGGAATGTCATGAGCGATCCTAAGGAGTTCCTGTCGATATTTCTGGGGTACTACCAGCTGTCTAGTAGTAACATTTACAGACCTGTGGCAAACCTAGCCACTTTAGGTACTACTGTGTAACATCTGAAGGTTGTCTGTAAAAGCTGCTTTTATTGTGTGTATGGATGTATTTGTGTATTTTTGCAATAGAGAGTATTCGTATGCTAACGGCCGAAAGCCTCTAGCATTCATATGGTAGTTTCACGAACAGTGACTTTACACACTGTTCGTGAAACAAATAAAAGTACCGAATGGGAGTCCACACACAGAGGGTCGTGTGGCTCCCATTAACCGATTGCAACATTGTAGCAATCGGTGGTTAAGTGCTTTCCTGGGTGGCCGTCGTTGGGCTACCGACCACGCGGCGGTCGGCCATCTTGGATCCTTTGTTAGCTCAGTGGTGTTTGGTCGTCGAGCACCTGGAACTAAAATCGGCCTTATTCCCTTTATTCCCTCAGTATTTTTTAATGAGAATGTATAATAAAGTGTGTTTCGTGCAGCGTTTGGTTATTTGTGCTGGGATCTGAGCGGTACTTTCACGAAGTGTGCGCTCAGACCCCAGCTATCTACCGAACGGTCATTTAGTAGAATCACACAAATAATGTTAAAGTTATATATTTTTGTGTTAATTCAAGTAAAGCGCTGAAAATGAAGGCAATATCCAAAACCCTCCTGTTAAGTGGATTATCCCTCCGTACAGCAGAACCGTCTTTTCACATAAAAATCAGTAACTTAAATTTTATTTGTGCTATTGTACCAAATGATCGTTCGGCAGATAGCTGGGGTCTGAGCGCACACTTTGTGAAAGTACCACTCAGATCCCAGCATAAATAACCGAACGCCGCACGAAACACACTTTAATATACATTCATCATAAAAGTCACGAATATACAATTGGGGAAAAGTACCGAAAGACCGGCGCTCCCGAAAGGTTTGGAAGTCCAGCGGTGTTCGTGCCGTCAAGTGGCCGATTTTAGTTCCAGGCACTCGACGACTAAACACTGCTGGGCAAAAGGGAAATCCAAGATGGCCGCTGCCTCGTGGTCGGTAGCCAAACGACGGCCACCCGGGAAATCCATTAGCAGCTGATTGCTCCAATGTTGCAATCGGTTAATGGGAGCCACATGACAGTGTGGAAAGTCACTGTTCGCGAAACTATCATATGAATGCTAGCAGCTTTCGGCCGCTAGAATACGAATGCTTTCTATTACAAGGATAAGTAAATACTGAAACGAACAGAATTGGACCAGCTTTCTAGGACAACCTTTAGACATATAACTGCACAATCTAAAGTGGCTAGGTTTGCCACAAATGGCCTCATATTTTTGCGGGGAAGCTAGCAGGGAAAGCGATGGAAGCCTTTAGGACTCTCAGCACTGAAGAGGTGGCCCAATACTCGCTAGTAAAAGACACTCTGCTGAGGCAGTACGCGGTGACCCCCCGACACCTATCGCAGGCAGTTCCGCAACACGAAAAAGAAGCCGAATTACACACTTGCCGAATGGGCGCACCGAATGCGGTGGGCTGCTACTCATTGGATTAACGGATGTTGCAGTCGAGATTTTGTAACTATTTTTGTTAGAACATTTCTATGATGGACTAGAGCAGAAAGACAGAGAATGGTTAAAAGACCAACGTCCCAATGACCTCAACGAAGCCGCGAGATTGGCCAACAAACACCGAGACTCTTAGGTACAGGAAATTCAATAACTCCCGAATGGTGATACATACCGAACATAGAGACAATCACCGAACTAGCCCACAAATGGAGTTTCGTACGCCGGTGCCAGCAGGACCTACCTGATACACCGGACCACCCAACCACTCACGTCCCACATGCTTCAAATGCAAACAGCCGGGGCATCTCATAGCCAATTGCCCCCTGAATAACAATTATCCCTTCCGGAACTATAATTCATCCTCTTCGGGAAATACCCGGCCAGACCATGCTTTTTGTGTTGATAAAGAGTATCTGGGACCTCTCCACGAAGCCGACCCCGTGTATGCAGCAACCGACAACACCACAGACAAGAGGTATTGCTGGACGGCCGCCCTACTCAGGGGTTAAGAGACACCGGGGATACTATCACCCTGGTGCAAAGCTGCCTGGTTCCAGAACATAAGCGCTCCAAAAGCACCGTGGCTGGAGGGGATATATACAAGCTACCAATGGCCAAAGTACATTTGGACTGGGGTGCGGGTAAAGGACTTGTGAGGGTGGGAATCATGGATAACTTGCCAGCTGAGGTTTTACTGGGCAACGACCTGGGCCCCATGACTTCAGCATATGCCCCTTCCTACCACCGGGAGGCACATCCTGGTCACAAGCAGGAAGGACCCAAGACCCTTCGCCAGTGCGGGAGACTCAGGTAAGACTAACCCCGACTGACTAATTGCCCTTCACCATTACCCTGGGATACGCCTGCAGCCTTTGAGGCTGAGACTAAAACTGACCCGACCCTCCAGAAGTAGGGAAAGAGCAGACACAGGGACTGGGTGGTCAGACCACGAGACATTTGCATGGGAGCAGAGCAGGTTGTATAATTTCATACCAAGAAAAAAGGGCACCGTAGGAGACAGTTGGTCATTCCCCACAAGTATAGGCGAGACATTCTCCAGGTGGGTCACGACATTCCCTTAGCCGGGCACCCGTACCCCTCCACACTATTACCGACGCCTTTTTCTGGCCAGGGGTACATGCAGATGTGAGGACTTACTGTAATACTTGCGAGGTCTGCCAGAGAGTGGGAAAGAGAGGAGACCACCCCAAGGCACACCTCGTCAACATGCCCATTATATAAGAACCCTTTAGCCGGGTAGCCATCGACCTAGTGGAACCACTCGCCACCCCCAGTCCATCCGGAAAGAGAAATATTCTTACAGTGGTGGACTATGCTACTCGCTACCCAGAGGCAGTAGCCCTATCCAACATCCAAGCAGACACCGTAGTTAATGCATTAGTCCAGGTGTTCTCTGGGTGGGATTCCCCAGGGAAATCCTGTCCGACAGAGGCACCCAGTTCACTGCTGAACTAACGCAACAGCTATGGCATGTCTGCAAAATAAAATCCCTAGTCAGCTCTCCGTATCATCCGCAGACTAATGGGTTATGTGAGAGGTTCAATGGAACCCTCAAACAAATGCTGAAAACTTTCACCCAGGAATATAGAGACTGGGAACGCTTCCTGCCACATCTCCTATTCGCTTACCGGGAGGTGCCCCAGGAAACGACCGGATTCTCTCCCTTTGAGCTGCTATACGGACGCAAGGTACGGGGACCCCTGAACCTTATCTGTGAGCACTGGGAGGGAGAGACCGAGAATGCCGGGGTCCCCATCGTACCGTATGGAGCAATTAACCAGGTCTATCCAGGTGAACCTCCAGGCGGCCCAGAGGCGACAGAAAGTCTGGTATGACAGGGGGGCACGGAGGAGGAGCTTTTGTATAGAACAAAAGGTTATGGTTCTCAAACCCGTTAAAGCAGACAAGCTGCAAGCATCTTGGCAGGGACCTTACCAAGTAGTAGAGAAACGCGGGGACACTACATACGTGATTGCTAGCTGCCACGATGAAAGTCTGCAGAAGATATTCCACGTAAATATGCTTAACCCCTTAAGGACACATGACGTGTGACATGTCATGATTCCCTTTTATTCCAGAAGTTTGGTCCTTAAGGGATTAAAGAATATCTAGAGAGACAGGAGGATGTGGCAGCCATATGCAGCCCCGCTTACGAAGACCCCGATAGCCTGCTCATACCCGACTTGTTAGACCAGGACCTCCCGGAGTTAGTGAACCAACTGCAGATAGGGGACAGACTTAACCCAGTAGAGAGGGAGCAGCTACACAAACTGCGCCAAGAGAAACACTCGATATTCACTAAGGAACCCGGGTACACGGAGTTGCCACCCACCAAGTAGACACCTCAGGACAGCAATCCTTAAGACAGGCCCCCTACCGTATCCCAGAAGCGGTCAGGGCAAGGATGAAAAAATAGATAAACGAGTTGCTAGGGGTCATTGAATCCTCCGATAGTCCCTGGGCATCTCCAGTGGTGCTAGTACCCAAAATGGATGGCACTATCAGATTCTGTGTGAACTATTGGAAACTCAATGATAAAACCGTAGATGAGCTACTGGACCGCATAGCCAGGGGAGATGAGCTACTGGACCGCATAGCCAGGGGAAACTACGTAACGAACATTGACCTCTGTAGAGGTTACTGACAAATCCCCCTGGCCAGGGAAGCTATCCCCAAGTCGGCATTCGTCACCCCGTTCGGCTTGTACCACTTTAAGGTCATGCCATTCAGGATGAAGAATGCCCCAGCCACATTCCAGCGCTTGGTGGATAGACTCCTTGATGGCTTCCAGGATTTTGCCTGTGCCTACCTGGATGACATAGCAATCCACAATGAGTCCTGGGAGGAACACCTAGCTCATGTAGGAATGGTTCTGGATCAGATTCGGGCCGCGGGCCTGACACTGAAACCAGAAAAATGCAATTTTGGGATGGCTGAGGTACGGTACTTGGGTCACCGAGTGGGATGCGGGAAGCAGCGACCGGAGCCAGCTAAGATAGAGGCGGTCGCAAATTGGCCCACACCTCACACTAAGACCCAGGTACTAGCTTTCTTGGGCACTGTCAGGTACTACAGACGATTCGTACTGGACTATAGTTCTATTGCTAAACCCCTGACCGAATTGACGAAGAAAAATCTACCCCGACAGGTCCTGTGGTCTCCCCACTGTGAAACAGCCTTCCACACCCTCAAAAGTGCCCTAATTAATGCTCCTGTCTTGGCTGCCCCAGCCCCTAATAAACGTTTTATCGTCCATACAGACGCTTCCATGTTCGGGCTGGGGGCCGTCCTCAGCCAAGTAGGAGACGATGGAAAGGAATACCCGATTGCCTACATCAGCCGAAAACTCCTGCCACGCGAGGTCAGCTATGCCGCCGTGGAAAAGGAGTGCTTGGCCCTGGTGTGGGAACTAAAGAAATTGACTCCCTACTTGTATGGACAAGAGTTCACTCTGGTTACAGACCATAACCCGTTGGTATGGCTCAATCGGGTTGCTGGGGACAATGGCAGACCTTTACGTTGGAGCTTATCCTTACAGCCGTTTAATTTCACCTACCGACCCGGGAAACAGAATGGCAATGCCGACGGGTTATCTCGACAAAACGAGCTCAGTCCAGCATAACGCCTCAGTCTGGACAGCCTTAGTCTGCCCCGAAAAGGGGTCAGACAGTGTCTGCCAGAGTGTTCCACAAGGAGGGAGCATTGTTACAAGAACCCTCCAAACTGTTATAGAAGTAACCCCCTTTTGTTCATCTAATACTCTGTTCGGTATCCAGACAGTACGAACACATTATACGAACAGTTATAGCTACACATTCATGTATATGAACGACGGACCACCCTGTCCTTGGCGTGTGCCGCCACTTAACCCCGATCACCTTTGAAAGTACCATACAACCGTCCACCTTACGAGCGGAGCATGCCTCTAATTAACCACCAAAGGAGCTGCGGTCTGCTGTTAACCACAACCTAATTGACGGTCTAAAGGGCATCCACGTTCGTGTACATTTCCCCGAACTAAAATCTACCGAAAGACTCACGAACCAGGACCACTTACATAGACATAGTCTTAAATTAGAGGGACAAAGGTTTAAAAATAATATCAGGAAGTATTACTTTACTGAGAGGGTAGTGGATGCATGGAATAGCCTTCCAGCTGAAGTGGTAGAGGTTAACACAGTAAAGGAGTTTAAGCATGCATGGGATAGGCATAAGGCTATCCTAACTATAAGATAAGGCTAGGGACTAATGAAAGTTTTAGAAAATTGGGCAGACTAGATGGGCCGAATGGTTCTTATCTGCCGTCACATTCTATGTTTCTATGTTTCTATCCTGGCGTGTGGCCTCAATTAGAATGTTGATTTTGCGGTTAACCACAGGTTAAGTACCCCCTTCCAGACAGTCTCCATTCGTTTCCCGAACGGCTGGGTCAACCATACTGAGAGCGGGAGTTCTTGCAAATATGTAGCCGACGCTCGCTCCATGAGTTTTAGGTCAAGGTCCCGCTGTCCATTGACGACCTTAAAACATGGCCGCCATCCCGGGATAAAAGCAACGAATGAGACTTTGTATGACAGAAACCATCTGTTCTGTTCATGGGATCAGAGCGCAATTCGTATAGCTGATGCGCTCAGATCTGAGCTACCGAATGAATAGTCGAACGAGCTGTATTCTCATCAAAATGTTGAAGTTATATATTTTTATGCTGTTTTCTGGGACAAAATAAAGGATGGGATTGGAGATAACTAGATTGTATAACTGTTGGACTCATTATCTCCAAGCTGGGCGGTTATTATTTTGAATGATACAGTGTAATGTGATTGGTCGAATCCTTGTGTTGTACCTGTGTTCCATCAGGTCCAGAGGGGGCTGTCCCTGGACCTGGGGACTTGCATAAATTGCCATGCTTGTGTGCCATTAAAGCCAGTTCGTTTTACCCTCAACTCGCAGCCTCGACTCGTGTTGTAGGGAACCGGGAATCCTAGCTTTACTATAGCTAGTGGGATATTCTACATGTGATGAGAGCAATCTCGCCACATTGCATTGGAGAAGCCTGGCTGCCCGCCTGCTGCCTTTGGACTATGGACCAGACTTTATGTAAATGTGTTAACCCAGATAGCTATGCCATGAAACCCATTCGTGTAGTTAAAGACTTCGGCTCCATGGCAATTGAACTGTGTGAATAGGATCTGAGCGCTATTCGGTAGTTTTGTGCGCTCAGATCCCAGCTATCTGGGGATATGTGAAATGTCTGTGTGTTATGTGTAAAAGGTGACTTTAAAATACATAAAGTGTTTTATGTCTTTTTGCAACCATGTGCTCAATGGAGTCTGCCTCTATCCCTGGATAATTGGATTACTTTTCCCCATTGTCTCCAGGATAGAGGGCTCTGTAAAACCTGTTTGAGCCAGATAGCCATGTGCCAGCCAGGGCTCAAAAGATACTTTACTAACTTTTGAACCCCTGGTCAGATTCATGCCATTTTTTAATATGTTGTTCCCCTTAATGGATTGATTGTGAATATGTAATTTTATGTGAATGTGATGTATGGTTTTAGAGTTATGAAAGTTGGGTAGAAAGTATGTTTTAACTGTATGTGTAATTGAGTTTCCTCTCAGGATAAGGGGAGGGAATATGTGGGATGTAACTGATATGTGATTGGTTGTTTTATACCTCCCTCTGGGCGGTCCTGTATGTGAAAGGCTGTAATAAAAACCAAGCTGGGTGTGCCAGCACCTCAGACCACTGCTTGACCCTCAACACAGAGCCTTGTCTCGTTCTTGGGGGGATTCACTGTATGCTGTTAGAGACTGATTGCCAGGAGTGTAAGCTGATTGTCTGCTTTTCCTGTTCGTCTGCTAGCAGCTATTTGGGAGGTTCCAGTTCGGGAGTTGGAGTGCTATTTTGTATCCAGTTCGGGAGTTTGGTGTTCTGCAGTAGTTGTGCCTGTATCTCTGGAAGTGGGGCTGATCGCTTCAAACGGTTTTTGTACCCCTTGTGTAAACGGTCCATATCCACATCACAGGTTTCACTCAACCCCCATAACCCCTCCCTACCCCCCATAACCCCACCCTTCTCCCCATAACCCCCCCCACCCCCCATAACCCCTTTCAACCCCTTCCCTCACTCCCCCATTCTTCCCCTACCCCCTTCCCCCCTCACCCCCATAGCCCCCTTCCCCTACCCCCCATAGCTCCCCTCCTCAATTCCCCCATAGCCCCTTCCCCCACTCCCCATCACCCCTCCCCATAGCTCCCTTCCCGCCTTTACCCCCATCACCCCCCTCCCATAACCCCTCCCCCTCACTCCCCATAGCCCCCTTCCCCTCACCCCCATAGCCCCCCCCTTCCCCCACTCATAGCCCTCCCCTTCCCCCTCACCCCCATAGCCCCTCTCCTCAATTCCCCATAGCCCCTTCCCCCTCACTCCCATCACCCCTCTTCCCCCCCTCACTCCCCATCACCCCTCACTCCCCATCTCCCCCCCTTGTTTCCCCTGGGTGGCCGCCGGTTCGTATCATCGAACGGCCACCAGGGGGAGCATTAGTCTCCCGAACCAGTCCGCACGCACTGTGTTCAATCCCCATGTTGAGGACCTTCCTATCCGCTCCCCAACGGAGCTGTAATCACTGTTACCCCTTCTAGGCTCGTAGCTGCCCAGGAGAACGCTCTCTCCGGCGGATACCTGCGTGGGGGTATACACCAGAGAGAGGGACGCGCGCCAGCAGGCAATCTCTGGAGCTGTGAGTCAGTCTCACGGCCTCAGAGTCCCCGCTGGCTGCCTGGAAGTTCGTGCCGACCAATAGGAGACAGAGCGCCCATGCAAACTGGGTTTGCGCCATTCTCCTGGGTGGTTGGCACAAGTGAGCGCTGATTGGACCTCTACGGGGCACAAGCGACCAATCCGAGAAGGAGCGCTCGTTCAAACAGGGTTTTGCGCCCTTTATTTTGATTGGGTGGCGAAATCCGTCTTGTCCCTGGGCGCTGATTAGCGCAAATTGGTTTCACACCTTTCAGCGGATTGGTACAATCAGGTTTTGCACCACGTCTTCTGATTGGGCCGCGAAACCCCTCTCCTCCCCGAACATTGATTGGTGCAACAGAGTTTCGTGCCCTTTCTTCGGATTGGGTGTCGAAACTCATTCCTCCCCCGAGTGGCGAGGTTTGATTTCGCCAGACTAAATGAAGCAACACCATGGAACTAACTGCGGGGATGTACAGAGCCTCAAGCTCCAGACTTTCTACGCTGATATATAATGTGTTTTCATGTGTATCCCTGTGTACTGTTAGCCATTTCCCACCCTAGGAGATACCCAGCCCCCTCCTGCTTGGGACTAAGGGAAGTGCATTGTGTGGAATGGGTGCATAAAATAGGCCTGTTTTCAATCAAGATGGGCAGAGTCCAGTGCTTAAATCTCCAAAACTGTCACCATGCAAGAGTTCCTGACCGGCTAAAGGAAGGGAACTAACGGGAGGTTACACCGCTCATTACACATTATCCAGAATAAGTTCTACAATGTTTTAATCTGATAAATCTAGAACACGTTTCCTAGGTTCAGATTAAGTAAAAGGAATAAGTAATAAAATCTTTATTTTAGTCTACAGAAGTAACCTTCCTTTAAAGGAGCAGCTGTGTGGCACATTGTCCAATATGTGGACAGACATGCTGTGGCATGGAAGACCTGAGCAGCCTCACAGTGTGGTAAGACCAATATCCCAGGGATGGCTAGGACTGAAGGAACTGTCTGATCTGCTCGTTCTCTGGAAGAAACTCAAAGCGAATGAGGAGACGGAGGAGACATGAGGTCACACGGAGCACAAAGCTGTCCCACCTGCAATATAGAGGAAGATTAATTACACCAACAGGCACGCGGAGATATACGCACAGCGTAATGTGACATTAAATAAAGCACATGAGATATACCCACAGCATGCGGAGATATACCCACAGCGTAATGTGACATTAAATAAAGCACGTAGAGATATACCCACAGCACACGGAGATATACCCACAGCAAATGTGACATTAAATAAAGCACGTAGAGATATACCCACAGCACACGGAGATATACCCACAGCGTAATGTGACATTACAAAGCACGTAGAGATATACCCACAGCATGCGGAGATATACCCACAGTGTAATGTGACATTAAATAAAGCATGGAAGAAAAGAGAGGTTGGCGCACACAATGGATAATTTTTCAATGATCTGTAATAAATATAACAGAACCTTCATAGGGCAACATATATGAGAAAATATTCAGATATATGTGTAACGGGAAAAACTCACAATTTAGAGAGCCATATAAGTCGGCTCTACTGAAAAAGCAGGTAAGTAATTCCAGAACGACAAATTGCCGCAGTGGTGATGGTCCCCCAGGGAGAAAGGATGCTTCAAATCCACCTGGACAGAATTTCAGGAACCAAATGTAGCTCAAAATGATTTCTTAATTACATAAAAATAAATATAAAAAGCAATAGCACAACGCATTTTGACCAATATACTGGTCTTCCTCAGGTGCATAAAACACAAATAAATATAACAGGCTTAAATACCTAACATAACAAATAATATAAAACACATGTAAGTTATTACAAAAACCCCTCCCAAAATGTCCATATATGGAAGTTCCGTTTTTATTATTCCTCCTCCAAGATGGTGATATCTGGTATATCGCCAGTAATATCCAATGAGGGCCGACCTTTTCAAGACGGCGGCACGGGCAGGACTTCTGTGGAAGTCGCGTGACTACCGTCATTAGACGGAACGTCACTTCTGGTTTACGTTGTGACGTCACTTCTGGTTTGCGTCTACTCGGGAGAAGGTGGCATTTCAGCTTGTCATAATAGCTCAGTTCATAGAATAAAAGTCCACCATATTTGAAAAGGGAAAGGAAGAGGGCAAACAAAGAAAGGGCAGGAATATTAAAATAGATAGATTAATACCACAATAAAACATTTTTTACAATGTAATAGAATGAGAAAAAAACTATTCAAAATCTAATCTCAACAAATAAATATAAATCACCAAGATCTGTCCTTTTATTTAAAAATTCAGAAAAAGAGAAGCACATATGGAATAAAAAAAAAAAAAAAAAAAGGGGGGGTACCAGTATTTTATAAAAATAGGTATAATTAAAAAATCTATAAAATAGGTCCAATATCAAAATCAATATTCATTCCTTTTGGGAATAATGTCTGGAGAAATAAAAACGGAACTTCCATATATGGACATTGTGGGAGGGGTTTTTGTAATAACTTACATGTGTTTTATATTATTTGTTATGTTAGGTATTTAACCCCTTACCGACCCAGGACATTTTTCCCATTGCCGACTGCTGACTGTCCTGAACCGTCCTAACAGTCCTAGTTACTTACCTGATCGCCGTCGTTCCCCCGGCGGCGATCAGCGTGGCTCCGGTTGTGGGGAGACTGCCTGCAGCCCAGACAGTCTCCCCACGGCAGATTAGGACCCCTGTGGCCATGTGATCGTTTAACACAGCGATCACATGGTCACAATAGGTGTCCATGTGTCTGCCTGCAGGGGGACTGTCTGTGCTGACAGGCAGTCTCCCTGCTAGTGTAAAATCAGAAAATAAAATAAAGTTAGTGTTAATAAAAAAAATAATAATAATTATATATGTGTATATATGATATATAGACATATATTATATGTATATAATATATGTCTATATATCATATATATAATGCCATACTAAGTGTATTTTTATATTAATATGTACTTATATTAATATAAAAATACACTTATAATTAAATTACACACGTATATATATAATATATATAATAACTATATATTGTATATATATATTATTATAAAATATAAATAATAAGTAATTTAAATTATTTTTTTTTTTAAATAATAATAAAAAAATTTAAAAAAATTATATAGCTATATGAAATTTTATTCTAACTGTATTTTAAAATTAATATATATATATTTATATCAAAATACACTTAGAATGAATTTGTATATATATCTATATATATAAAAATAAATAAAAATAATACGAAATATACATATGTCCATATACAAAATCACATAAATAATTATATAAATATACACGTAGACTTCAAATATATAAATATGCATATATATTTAAATTCTACGTGCGTATTTATGTAATATTTTTACAAAATTCAGTAATTTTATTGATTGCAATTTGAGGGACCTGCCTGCCAACCCAGGCTGAAATTCCAGAGAATTGAATTTGCTAGCACTGTATTTTACCCTGTAACGTTCTACGACACCCTAAAACCTGTACATGGGGGGTACTGTTTTACTCGGGAGACTTCGCTGAACACAAATATTAGTGATTAAAAACAGTAAAACATATCACAGCGATGATATTGTCAGTGAAAGTTACTTTTTTTGCATTTTTCACACACAAACAGCACTTTTACTGATGATATAATTGTTGTGATACGTTTTCCAGTTTTTAAACACTAATATTTGTGTTCAGCGATGTCTCCCGAGTAAAACAGTACCCCCCATGTACAGGTTTTATAGCATTTTTGAAAGTTACAAGGTCAAATATAAGGGTCAAATATTTTTACATTGAAAATGGCCAGGTTGGTTACGTTGCCTTTGAGAGCGTATGGTAGCCCAGGAATGAGAATTACCCCCATGATGGCATACCATTTGTAAAAGAAGACAACCCAAGGTATTGCAAATGGGGTATGTCCAGTCTTTTTTAGTAACCACTTGGTCACAAACACTGGCCAAAATTAGCGTTCAATTTAGTTTTTTTACTTTTTCACACACAAACAAATATGAATGCTTACTTTGGCCAGTGTTTTCGACTAAGTGGCTACTAAAAAAGACTGGACATACCCCATATTGAATACCCTGGGTTGTCTACTTTAAAAAAAATATGTACATGTGGGGTGTTATTCAGAGATTTATGACAGATAATAGTGTTACAATGTCACTATTGATAAATTTTAAAAATGTATGCTTTGAAACCGCAATATCCTACTTGTACCTATAGCCCTATAACATGCAAAAAAAAGCAAAAAAGCACGTAAACACTAGGTATTTTAAACTCAGGACAAAATTTTGAATCTATTTAGCAGTTTTTTTCATTCGCTTTTGTAGATGAGTAAAAGATTTTTCAAGTAAAAGTCAAAAAACATGTATTTTTTTTCAATTTTTCATCTTATTTTTTTAAATTAAAATACAAGAGATTATA